TTTCTCCCGGCGACATCCCAGACCTGCTGCTCCTCCCGCACGTCTGCGGCTCCTCCAACGTCCGTCGCCGCTCCAACTCCAGAATCAGAGCCGCCGTCCGTACACCGCCGCGTCAATCTCCATCGCAGACCCGGTCGAGCACTCCGTCTCCACTATTAAGAAATTGCATATCCGGCCGAGCCCTTCGACGCCGTCGCCTCGTTCTCCTGCGCACCGGTGCTCCCGTCGCCGCCGTCTCAGCACTTTAAACCCCGCCGCAGTTCCGTCAAGACGCAACCGCCGCCGCTGCGAGTCACAGCATCAAATTCCGGCAAGGCCCGATTTTGCGATTTCGGATTTTATTTGCACAAAGCCAGATGATTTATTGTCTCTATTGTTGTTTATATCATGAATGTGATGGCTAAGTTGTGAAAAATGTATCCGACGAGTAGGAATCCGAACAGGCCGATATCGCCGGTGAACATCCGTCGGAGGATGTCTGGCCCAGTCACCTTCAACGTGGCATCCAAGCCCGTGCTCACGGCTTCGGCCGCCTTCCTCCTGGTGCGGCGGCAGACTCACGGCCAGTGATTTGCAAATTTTTGGGTGGGGGCTGATTGATGTAAATTAGATAAGGCACAAGGATAAATCTGCAATTTCAGAAAATTTGGCTATATTAGATTTTAGTCCTTATTTTACATCTTTAGATTTTAAAAAAATAAAAAAAATGTATCTAGATAAATTGCACAAATGCACGGTATTCAATTTGAAATGAACAAACACGCAAAAATTGACATTACCAATTTTTTTTTTTATTTTTTTTACAATACAAAAAAAAAATAAAAAAATTAAACACACAAATCGGCAACACGCTCACCGATTCTCAGCCCCAAATTCGCTGAACACTCTCACCGACTGAACCATAAGGCCGATGATTTCATCGAAATCAGCAACCAGTCACGATTCCATAGGTGCTCTAGCGACGTAAGAAACCAAAGACAATGCGACGGTGAGACTAGTCTGAGGCGGGAGACGACTGTGAATGGTTGATGCGGGAGGACAGGAATCAGATTTGTGTTGGGGGATTTTGAACTGAGAATTTGATACTTACCAGGAGGCTTAGTGCAAATTTAAATATATTCATTTATTGACAATATAATTAATAACTAAATTGCAGTTAATTAAGGTGCAAATAAATGCACATTAAAGTTGTGAGTCACGGCTACAATGCACGTGAATTGTGAATTGAGTGGATAGAGGACCATTTGTACAAAGCATTTGAATATTTTTTTATGCGTATATTATATTAAATAATAAACAAATTATCAAATAAAAAAATAATATATGATATTAAAATAATATAAAATAATTTTTAATAATAACTAGATTTTATAGTAAAATATAATACATAAATAGTTATTCTAATTATTTATGTTAATTCGATGTACAAATATACACATAATTTATATGAGAAGTATAAATTAGCTAGTGCACATTATTTAAGGGCATGTTGCACTTTATATAATAACATGTTGCATTTTATAAAACAATAATTGCACTTTATAAATTCATCTATATACAAAAAACACAAACATATTAACGTGTCGGAAATTAATGCGTTGCACTTTATACAATAATACGTTGCAACTTATAACATAACTATTGTTACTAATATATCTTTGTTTTATAAAAAAAAAAAAAAGTAATTGCACTTCGATTTCACATTAGTGATAGACTGATTGCACGTTAATGTCTTCCAGATTGCACTTTAGTGTTAGACGTGATGCACATTAGTGACTGTCGGATTGCACTTTAGTGACCGAATTATTTTTTATTTTTTTCGAAAGTTATCTCGGATCGATTATGTGTTTACCTTTAAAATCTTAGTTAATTCGGTTCAATCTCAGCTTTATTATTTTTTTTAAATACCCGAAATAAATGGACCGACCAAACCATATAAAAAATACTATATATATATATATTATTTTAATAGTATTATTTTTTCAATCAAAATAAATAAAATATTATATAAAAACACTAATGTGCAATTTACATAACGTTAATGTGCAAATTACATAAAATTAATTAACAAAATATAGCCCGATGCATGACAACAAGGGAAAACTAAGCATCAACATAAATAGTAATAATAATAATAATAATA